ATTTTGGCTCACGAGTTGACAGCAAACTGCTCCAGCTGTCTCGGGTTTGAAACGTGCCTTCGCTCCACTCTTTCGGCTCCTTTCGCGGATGTTCAAAAGGGTTTAGATCAGGGCTCATCAGAATGCCTCGTGCGTCTCTTAGCGGCATTTGGGGTCTTGATCCTGTTGTGGAGGACTTGTGGCGAAAATTAAAGTGACAGAAGGCAGCACATTTGGTTGAAGAATACCTTGACACATTTCACTGCACTCTGCACAGATTAAAGACCATGACCGAGTCGGCTATTTGTTTCAAATCAAGCAGTACAGCTGTACTTTTCTGTTTCCACACAACAGAGGCAACGTTGGTGTTACAATACAATACAGCACAATACGTCTTCATTTATATAGCGTTTTCACAACAGCTGAAGCTGTAACACGGCGCTTTACATTCATATTAAATAACAACACAACGGAGCACAAGATAAAACAGTGACAATAGTACAATCGTAACGACTATTCCTACTTTCTGCGACAAAGAGAAAACCCACAACTGTCAACGAAATGGACCAGATTTTGCTTGTTGGCAAGTCACACAAGCTCGATACTGACTGGCACAATCAACGATAAAAGAAACATTGTACCTTCTTTTGAAACAAGGACGATTTGCTGGGGCTGCTTTGCTACAGCCGGCACAGGGTGCCTTGACTCAGTCGCAGGTCATGGACCCTCCAACAGGATGAAGACCCAAAAGGAACAGGTATCGCAAAATGGCACAAAAGAAATGGGCCAAATTCTGAGGAGCACTGATCTAAATCCACCTGAACTTTGGAAGGAGCTGAAACATGTGATCTGAAGAAGGCACCCTTGGGCCAAAATACCCGTTGAAAGGTGCACAAGTCTCACTGAGATTTATTGAACTTGTTTGATGGAAGTGAGTGCTTTGAAAGTTCTTAAGGGTGCCAACATTTTTGTCCCGGTGTGTTGTGAAATAATTCTTTTGGATCACAAAAAAATCAAGCTAAAATAAAAAAAAAATCAACGGATGAGCATCTTTTATTGCTTTTGTTCCGTTTAAAATGATTTCAGTAAGCGTTGTAATGTTTGCGACCGTCAATGGAAGGGCACCAACAATTTGTGCACTAGACTCAGCGTTAAATACACCTGAACTACCTGCTGACCATTTGCATTCATCGCAAAAAAAAAAAACAAATTAATCTTTGAAAGGTTTGAGCCATAAATAATGGATTCGCTCATGCGATGTGATCTGTGTTATGTGCATATTTTCCCATCGTCCATGGGAAGTTTCATGTAACACTCAAGTGAACTTTTACTTCAATTAAGTCATTAATTAAAATTTCATTAATAGTACTAATGAGAGCAAACCGACGTCAGACAAATTAAAAAACATCAGAGAGTTTGGCATGACTTGCCACATGCTCGAGTGTGACAGCAAATGCCAGCGTAATGAAAATGTGCGAAGCAAGCCGCGCCCTGACTTCACACGGTGCAAACAGCAAATTATCAGGCGAACAATATGCTGAACTAATTGGAATGAGAAGTGATGTAGTTAGAAGGGTGACTCATCAACATGTCAGTTAAGTTTTTGTTCGGAAATATATTGGGCTCTATTTTTGTAGATGCCGCATCTTGATTTTCATGCCAGCGCAAGCTTTGTTGTGCCTGTTCGGGAATTTGGTTCATCTCTCTGCGCTATGCTGGGCATTCCGGCATTCAAGGGGTGGCTCCTTTGATATGATGCCTGCCGCATCTGATATCTTGGTGACAGACATCGGTCGACGCATGACGCTTGCTGGAAACCCGTTAAAGTCGGCGGAGTAACGTGATTTTGGTGAATTTGATCGGGGAACGGACAAACAGATTCTGACCTCTGTCGATATGTGCGGTCAGTGTCATTATATTTCATTCAAATGTGACAACATCGATCAAATCCTTTCAATCTTTGCAGATATTAATGAATTGAATGTGTTATTATTATTATTATTATTATTATTATTACTATTATTATATTTATAACTCATCCCACTGGCTGTGGCACAGCTACGAGGACGGTGAGGAGGGGGCGAGGGCAGGAGTGTCACACACAGACACAAATGATCGGGGGTGGAAGGCGGTCTCACTTCACAGATCTGTGATCTCCCCAGCCAATATTATATCATCCGCCTGTGGAGGTCTGCTTGGAGTCCCTTATACTTTGCGCATCTTAACCTGTCAATCAAATTAATGTCTTTTTCTATCACGTCGAGGACAATCAATCGGCCCCTTGAGCACTCCATTTAAAAGGAATGAAGAGGAGCTGCTTCCATTGGCGACAAAACAAGTTGGCTGTTTTCACGCCCACAACGGCGCAATTGACTCTGTTTTAAGGATTCCATTACACCGCACCCGTTTGCACGTATCTCGGAAAATACCAACAAATACAATACGATTCCAGATTGCGCCCACGCCCCGTGCACGAAAATAGTGCCATTTGTGTCGATGAGTGCCTCTTAATGAGTTTAGATACGAAATTACTTGATCTCAAATAATTACTTGACCCTTTTTTCACTGAAGACAAGAAGCACGAGAATTATGTGTGAACACACCCTCTGCTGTCTTCTGCTGCGTGGGTGTGCTTGCTTTTGTCCTGAGTGGAATCATGGGTACAATGTGGTGAGGTGGGGAGAATCATGAGCCAAAATGTACCAGTCATGATACTGACCTATTGACCTGTCTCCAGTATGTCAGAGGTGCAAGGCAGATCTTATTAAAACATGCTCGCTTATCCCAGTTTTTATTGCGCTCCACGAACAACACTTAATTTTATCTGTTTAGTGCCATCATACTTTGCCTTGCAGAAGTGAACCAAAAACAATCAGAGCTGCGTGATATTTTTTTTTGTTCGTTGTCGATAATCTATTCATACGCACATAGTGTCAGTTTTTTTTGTACGCTGGCGACCTCGTAGCTTGCCGCGACTGACTCAGAAACAAGTAGGAGAGGGTGCACAAAACAGAATGCAGTGAAAAAAAGTACTCGTCAAATCATAAATAACTGGTGCTGAGCTGATTTTTCATCAAAGCATGCACATCATCGAGACAAAAATATAAAATGTGCCAATCCAGATATTGCCCAACTACAAACACCACTTTAACTGAAACGGTAGTAAACAAAATCTTCATAATATAGCACAAACTAAGGGCAAATCATACCATCAGAAACTGTCTGAAACTACTCTGTCAAGTACAGTACAGAATGAAACTGGTTCACAATTCTTGACGTACATCACTTTTACCAATCCACGAAACACACTCAATTAGCAGAGGACTTAAGGGCAGGCGATATTAACCTAAAGCCCCCATGGGAGCCATCTGAGGAGAGTGCCACTCCCACCTCTGGAAAAGCTCATGAGAAAAAGCATATCTAATGTCATTTCACAGGTAGATAGAGCGGGAGATTGAGGGGTAATTGGACGTAATAACACATGGCTCCCTCTCAATCCCGCTAAAGACTTGTCCACATGGCATATTTGCCATGGAGATAAATATACAGTGGATGAACTTTGACCTTTGCTCCCCACTTTCCTGAAGGTCAGCGGTCCACTTTACATACACAGATGAGGCCGTCTTCTTCCGGAAGTGATAAGACAAAGCAGCGAGGAGAGGTAAGGTCAGCGAGTTAAACCAACAGCTAGGATGACAGTTAATTGGCTGGAGGCTGGTGTAACTGTCATCCATTTCCCCTGGGCTGGTTTGGGAAGGACACACACACACACACACACACACACACACACACACACACACACACACACACACACACACAAACCCAATCCGCCCCCCCACTTGGAGACTACAGCCTCACACTTGTCAGCTGTCTCCCACTGGTTCAACCAGTGGACATTACTGCAGTGGCAGGACGGGCCGGAAAAGATGACAATGACTCCCATTTGATTATTACTTCACCATTACCGTTTATATTATGGTAATACACAATAAAGAGTGTGACAAGTGAGGAGATTAAATGTCAGAGTGAATTACAGGCATATGACCAAGTAGGCCCACAAATCAGATGGCCGAGCGGAAGGGTGCTGTTTGCTAATTGTTCATATTCAAGCGGCCTAGGGTGGCATCCGGCCGATTTAGAGTGTCCAGATAAACCCATGCGTGCGTACAGAGCTCGAGTGACTTGTTTGCCTCCTTGTGTTGCACATCGTGACGTATAGAGGACGACCTGGAGGGAACAATAATTGCCTACATCTTGTGTAAATGTGTGTTGACATGGCTCCCGTGTGATCCGTCTGAATGACTTTGCCGATTTTTGGGGGCGTGGCGTCTTTTCTGAACGTCACTCAAAGCTTCCCTCGCATGCAGCTGGCACACAGCTGGCCTTGCAACCCACCACTAGCCCCTTCCAACCCCTTTTATGATCACCCTTTTCCTGCACCACCCACCCGCCTACAGAATGCCAGACATGCGGAGTAAGACAATATAGGGGGATGGAAAAAAAAAACCATGAGTGGGAATAGCAAGCAGGAAGTTATGATTGGGCCCAGGGATCCATCATGGGGGTGGGGGGTGCATGGCAAGAGCAGGATCAGTCAATGATAGACAGGTGTTTCTCAGTAATCATCCTAATCCCAGTCAAGACTGCTCCCTGTGCCCCCCTCACCCATCCGATGTTGCTGTTATTAATAAAAAAAAAAAAATGGGTGAAGTCAAAATTTCAACTAAAGAAACTTAAAATTTGAAGTTGGGCAGCTCAACCAAACGTTAAGTTTGGCTGTTCTGAAAACTGCTTTCCTCACATTTTACAACAAAACACACCTTGAAAAACAAGGTGTGTTTTGGAGCAAACAACTTTCTTGCTTTGTTGTGCTCATACCGTTGCCATAAACGGAAACGATTTATAATTTAACTTTGTTTCAACAATTACTGTTTTAGGCCAAAACGATACTTTTTTTTTTTTTTTTACAGTGTAGTGACACTCTCCGTCTATGCTATAACAACATCCGCTGCATTTTGACACACAGTAATGAGTTTAAAAAAAAAAAAAACAAGGTTCAGTTTGGAAAAAAAAAGTACTGTAGTAGCACATCTTCTGGGGTGCAGTTTCGAGCTTCGACACGGCGCCTCAGCTGATCTCACAGGTTTTCAACAGGATTCAGGTCTGGAGAAAGCGCAGGCCATTCCATTTGAGGTATACCGCTCTCCAACAGCCGTTCCCTGATGATCACGTTCTTTTCTTGTGGTTTTTGGTGTATCAAAGGAATAAATAGATCAAAAGGGTTAAAGGATGACCAGAAATAATTGATACTAGGTGAGATCAGAAGTCTGCTCAATCCATGTATCAAGTCATCAAAGTTCGGTGATTAGTTTTCAAGTTTTAATTCAGGCTAATTAACAACCAAAAGGTAACACCCAAGTCATTAAATGTGAGACAAGAGCAACTAGTTGTATCCTTGGCAAATTTCCAGACACAGACAGAGAAGAACAAAAAGGAAAAGATGCTAAAATAGCTTTGCAAATCATTTGCATACAAAAGATAAGTGCAGACTGGAAAAAAAAAAAAAAAAAGCGGATGAACCGCATGATGGTGAGGTTGCGGCGAAGCAGTGATGTCGATAAGGAGCGTGCACAGTTGAGGACAGCAAAAGCACATCCAGATGACTGAGAGTCAATACAGTATAACCCCATGACACGAGCAGCGATCTAAAATGAGATGACTCTGTGCAGAGCTACAAATTAAAGAAAGGCCAAATCTGGAGTCTATTATCGTGTCTCCACTTTTGTAACGTTTAAGTGGTACAATAAATATGAACGTCGCAGCAGCCAATGAAGCTCTAACCAGTATTTGTTTTGCGGGGAGAGTGCAAGAAAAATGAGAAGCCGTGGCACGGTAAACACAACTCTTTCTGCCCGAAAAATGTGAGTAGTACCAAATGTTCCTGAGTGTAGGAGTTGCTCTTAGATTTGTGGACGTGTGTTTTAATCAGTTCGACAGGCAGCTGATTGCCTGAGCCAATTTACAGCCACACCCCCCCAAAAAAGCTAAGAGATTAAAAACCAACAGGAATCACCCATATACAAAAGTCAGCCTGTTAATATATGACATTTGGTCGGGTTTTGGGATCTTGGTCGAAAGCGTTAACTCAAGTGGTGATCATGAAGAGCTGTTCTCGAATCAGTAGGATTTTTTTATGGGGGTGCAGGGGGGAGATAACAACACGCTCTGTCAGGAATATTGTCAAAAAGAAGAATGGCATGACAAGGATGAACACGTTCTGTGGGCTCTATTTTTGTGACGGGTGAAAATCTTGTGCGGTGTGTGGCGAATCTCTGCGCCGAGGCAGGTTAGACCTGATGTTTGTCATTTTGCAGAGAAGCACTGGCTGGCAAATCTACAAGTGGGAGTGCGCCGCCACTGTTGGAGTGGTCAAAGCCGACTTCAGAAATGGCTCATTTCATTCTCTTTTAATGTGACGCGCTAGTCAGGGACAATTAAGAGGCTCGACAAGGTGGAAGAAAATCCGTATCCTCGGGTAAGGTACTTGCTGTCGACCTCCTCACCTCTGATCGTTCGTGTGCTCCCATCGCTGTGCTGCTCAGTGGGATGAATTTCTATCCATCCATTTACTGATCCGCTTTATCCTCACAAGGGTCGCGGGGCATGCTGGAGCCTATCCCAGCCATCTTTGGGCAGTAGGCGGGGGACACCCTGAACCGTTTGCCAGCCAAATGCTCAGACACGAACGAACACTCGCACTCAAAATCACACCTCGGGACAATTTAGAGTGTTCAGTCAGCCTGCCACGCGTGTTTTTGGAATGTGGGAGGAAACCGGAGTACCCGGAGAAAACCCACGCAAGCACGGGGAAAACATGCAAACTTCACACAGGAAAGCCGGAGCTGGAATCGAACCCGGTACCTCTGCATTGTGAGGTCGACGCGCTAACCACTCGAACACCGGGATGAATTTAAAAAGTACAATTCACTGATTTCAGAGGTTTTGATGTTGTTCACACATTTATGAATGAAATACATCCCGTTCGACCCGTGCCAGCGTTTGATGCGGTCCGAGCAGGGATAAGGTTTTACTCGCATTTCTGTCACCAAATTGTGACTCTGCCAGTCACTTCTTCAAGGCACTCCTTTCTTTTGTGTTGAGGCACCCATCTCGGTCGCAACAGGGCTGCCAAATTGGCAAACACACATCAAGCCTTGCACTGATATGAAAATCAGGATCCGATGACAAAATTGAGGCCTGTGTGCTAACTCTGCACCGAGGTCAGGAATGCCAAGCTACAATACTTAACCGGGAAAAAAAAAAGAAAACAGTAACACAATGATTCAAACTTTTCACCTCATTTCCACTTAGTAGTTCATGAGTTGTATTTCCTTCAGACTGAATTGCGTGCCTATCACTGCCATGAAAGATCCCCTCTCATGCTATATGGTGATGCTAAGCTACAATGCTCGAGCCAGTCCATTAATGTTGGCTCTGTGGTCTGTATTTTTAGACTGGCCAGTCACAAGGGTACGCCACAACTTGTCATCCTGGTGCGACACATAACGCAATCACCCAGAGTCACACTTCGACATGTGTTTGCCAGCTCTATCATTTGGGCTGCGTTTTCACATCGGGTCTGGAAGGTTTTCCCCCCCCTCAACCGAGTCATAAATGAGTCAGACCCCAGTTTGGCACTTGTGAAAAACTTTATGATTTAATCACCGCGTTCACCAGTCTTGGCTAAACATTTGGGCTTCAGTTTAAAATGTGCCTAATTGGTTTTAATTGAACTCACTGTCTATTTTCCAAGCGTCCTGTATGTGTCTTTTTCAAATGCTGTGATTAACTGTGTGTGCGCGTGTGTCTCCTTGAAGTCTACGCTTCTCCTGGCTGCTACCACAGAATAGCACATCCCTTCTATTACGTGCAATTTCCTGGGTTTTATAAGGTACGTTTACTCCCCCTGCTTCTTCCCATATCATGGAAACCATTATCTGGTGAAGAAAAAGTTTGCCTGTGGGTGACGCGCCAAGCCGATTGTTCATGGCGTGTCTTTTAAGGCATAAGTCATTCTAATTATAACCTCGCACAAAAACGGCGTTGCACTCCCTGTCGATGCGTCTGGCAAGTCGCAGAGGAAGCCGTACTTAATTGTCATTCAGTCCTAATTATAATAAATGGCTTCATGAGGGCACAGCGGCAAAGTGGATAACTGCATCAAAAAACAGCGTGTTGGTTGCATAACTGACGTTCTTTGCCAGAAATTAGTGATGACCTCAGCCCATGGAAATACCACCACCACCACCAGCAAGGCCTTTATCTTGTGGCAGTTTCGCTGTTATTCTTACAAACGTTACACCCTCTTGCAGTTAAAAAAAAAAAAAAAGAGGCCGATATTTCAAAAGGCTGTCTCTTCTGTTTTTTAGGGCCATTGATGTTGAAGTGAGCGAGTCTAAAACACCTCTCCCTCACCCCCTCGCAGACCAAAAAAAAAAAATCCCTTTCTAAAACCAACATGGTGAAAATGACATTTCGGTTGAGGCGGCTAATAAATCTTGGCAGAAGGCGGCCGGAGGAGTGGAAGTATGTACTCCCAAGTCAGCAATGTGGACGGCGATGGCGGGTGGCGGGGGAAGAAAGGGTAGCCACATAAGAGGAGGTTTGTGTTCGCGCGGGGCGAGATGAGGTGCAAGGGGAGTTCGGCTGGATTAGGGGGAGTGAAACGTCTCGCGGTCGAATTTGTTTGTGTCAGTACGTGTTCCTGAGATGTGCTTATTATGAGGGCCAAGAAATGGTCGAGACCTTCCGATTTTAGTCAATTAATGTTCTTTTAGTCAACCTCATCCTAAAAATATTTCATAGGGGCGGGACAAAAGAGGTAGACGGCGCGATATCACGTCGCCATCTTTTATGGTACCGTATCAATATGTCAACATCGGATTTCCATACTGTTGCTGTCCAATGGGCGGTATTGTATTGTAATCTCAAACCGATACAAAAGCATCAGTTATTAATACTTCTTCTGTCTGGCATCTGAACAAATGTAGTATTGCATTATTATCCCTCACACTAACGAATCAATGAGGCAATCCTCTCACAGTTCCGTATGGAAACGGAAAGATCAGATTCCGTCACTTTTAAAGGTCGATGCATTAACATCAGATATCAATACTATCAAGATAATGTTGGGCTGGCATTTCCCCGCTGATGTATCACTAGTAGTATCTGGACTCCCTCTAGTGGTACAAGAAAGAATCACTGCCCATGTACTGTTCAGTTATATTTAACCTTAAAGTTCAATATATCTGCATGAAATCGTTTAGAACGTTTTTTTAAGGTACCATTTTAGTTTCACTTTAATATGCAATATATTTTACCTGAATATTTGAGGTCACTTCTTTATTTGGTACTTGGTACAAAAAGATTGAGAACCACCATTTTTGGTGACATTATCCGATACAGTTACTGATCGGAATATCAACGCTGTCACTGTCTGGCATATCTTATATAGCGCAGCTCTCAATACTGTGACCTTTTAGGCTGCAGTTTCGATGTCGCTGTCCGACATCCAAGTATGTGCAGTATCACGTTGTTGTCTCATAGAGTGCAGCAAGAATACTCCTCCTAAATTGGCATTAAGACATGAATGAACTCCATCGTCTTCATTTTGAATATCTAAACTTCAAAGACCAATGTGTGTGTATGAGCATACTAGCTTAGCACTCCGACCTGATTTTTAAAAAAATGTAATTAATTTTTTTTTTTTTTAAGTAGGAAGCTATCCAGTGTAATTCTCTCAGAAGCCAATTCATTTTGAAAATCTCATTTCTCTCATAGGTCACTTCTTTGTCATAGCAAGACCTCGAGTCCTTTTTTTTTTTACAATGTGCCAAAGTTCAAACTTGTTCCAATCGGGACAACACATTGTGGAGTTTCTTTGCGTGCTCCTTTTAATCATAATAATTGTCAGTAAGCAGATTTTAACACATAACACCCTGGTTAGGGATTGTTTTCAGGTCAAGTGATAGGAGACATTTGCAACACGTTGTAAAATGTGCGCAAAAAAAACAAGGTACAATTTAAAGTGGCTATCATACAAAGAATTGTGACAATAAATCACCAGCGCGTCCCCGAACACCGAAACCTTCAAGTCCAACTCACTGATGTTTATTGCCTGTTGGACACGCACATCTCCCTCTGTCGGGATCCTTTTCATATGAACAGACAAAATAACCTTCAAATCCTGGCAAAAACAAGCAATTTAAATGGATATATTTTGAAAAATGTTCCACTGATGTACTTTTTTTTTTTTTTTTAAGGTCACTCACTCACCACAGGATTGACTTCAATCATGCTGTTCCTATTAGTCATTAAAAGGCAGAAAAGCATTCAAATAGGTTCCAGGTTTAATAATAAATAGATTGGTAGGATTTGAAGTTCAACCAAAATATTCAGGTAAAGTATGTCTCAAAAGTCAAATAGAATTTGGAGATCAGACCATCATCAGCGTGACGGCAGCAAACCTTGTGGGACTTTCTTTAGCATGTGAGCATCGAAAGAACCGACTCCACGAGTGCGTTTTGCTTTTCCATTTCCGTGATGCTCTTGCGAAGTGTGACGAGCACCATCAGAAAGTGAATTTAATGATGCAAATAAAAGAGTCAGGCCTCTCAATATACTGTGAACAATATCATTCAGTATCAGGTGCACTCACAATATCATTCTACCAAGCATATGCTACTGTAAATATCACATAACCAAGAGCCTCGTGAAAATGACTGTTCCCTGTCCATTTTGTGTCTGTTGGCTTTATATAACAGGTGAATATTTTAACCATACTGCGGTAAACTTATTTTGTTACACTTTTATGACAGTAAGAAAGGGTAACCCCAACCCCTATATTATTTTTAAAAAACATTGCCGGGGCTTTTTTAAATTTAAAAAAAAAAAAAAATTATGTTTTTGTTTTGTTTTGGGCGGCCCGGTGGCCCAGTGGTTAGCGCGTCAACCTCACAGTGCAGAGGTATCGGGTTCGATTCCAGATCCGGCCTCCCTGTGTGGAGTTTGTATGTTCTCCCAGGGCCTGCGTGGGTATTCTCCGGGTACTCTGGTTTCCTCCCACATTCCAAAAACATGCATGGCAGGCTGATTGAACACTCAAACTTGTCCCTAGGTGTGAGCGCGGATGGTTGTTCGTCTGTGTGTGCCCTGCGATTGGCTGGCAACCGGTTCAGGGTGTACCCCGCCTATTGCCCGAAGACGGCTGGGATATGCTCCAACACCCCCCACGGCCCTTGTGAGGATAAGCGGATTGGAAAATGGATGGGTAAATATTTTGTTTTTTTTAAGGGGACAGGTTACACCGAGAAATTTGCACTACATTTTTTTGTAATGGGAAAGAGACAACAACTAAAATACATATAAAATTGCATACAATCAGTTTCGGACACAATTTTACAAAGCAGATGCTGGGGATGTTTTTATTATCCTTGAAGTGTGATGCATTTAACATCTAAGCACACGCAAGCGTGCGCTGACACGAGGAGACGTGCACCACTTTCCATCTTTTTATCTGAGCAAACCCAATCAAATGATTTTCTCAATAGCAATAAAGCGCTCTTTATTTTACTTGGCCGGGCATCAATCCCCCCCCCCTCACACACGCAAAAAAAAAAACTCCTTCTCCACCCTCCACTCAACCTTCCAACCGCACGACGGTGGGATCAGTTTCTCCCCAGAATCCCACTGAAGCGCTGCCATGTCGGCTGGAGACAATCAGTCCAAATACTCTTTTAAATATTCCTACTCCTGCCCCAAATTCAATTTATGGACACATTTATTACCGTGTCTCTCGGTGACTAAAAGGGAGTTTCACAATCAGGAGCACACATCTGATCTGGTCACAGCAGGCCTGCCGCGCTTTATTACACGGTCGCGACGAGGCGATCTGTTGAAGAAAAGGAAAACGTGAGCAAACAAAAGAGTCGGTACTTACACATGGGATGGGTTGGGAGGGCCTTAGATCTGATTTCGGAGCCACTGGGGGAAAAAAAAAATCTGTACCAGTACAATACTAAAGTTGCTTGTTCAGCTTTTGCCAAAGACATCAATGCGTGTTTTTACAGTGCTTCTGTGAGTCGAAGAGTAGCAGAGGGTTTCAAAAATACAAGTTTCAAGTCCAGATTGAGGTTTATTGGCGGAAAGGGAGTTTCACAATCAGGAGCACACATCTGATCTGGTCACAGCAGGCCTGCCGCGCTTTATTACACGGTCGCGACGAGGCGATCTGTTGAAGAAAAGGAAAACGTGAGCAAACAAAAGAGTCGGTACTTACACATGGGATGGGTTGGGAGGGCCTTAGATCTGATTTCGGAGCCACTGGGGGAAAAAAAAAATCTGTACCAGTACAATACTAAAGTTGCTTGTTCAGCTTTTGCCAAAGACATCAATGCGTGTTTTTACAGTGCTTCTGTGAGTCGAAGAGTAGCAGAGGGTTTCAAAAATACAAGTTTCAAGTTCCAGATTGAGGTTTATTGGCGGAAAAAAAAAAAAGATCTGTTGTTGACAAAGTTGAGATACATTTTTGGGGGTGGGGGGCATTTTACGATTAATATTGACCGCCAAAAAATACAAAAAGTGACCTTGTGCTTTCGTCATCAGTTAATGATGGAGTTCCGTTCCTGCAGCTGGGACGCAACCTGAATTCATCAGAACACAATGTGGTTCATATAATTAAAATAAATATGTATTGACAAAGATTTTTCATCCATAAACTTAAATAACTTGGAAACAGTAAGTACAGCAGTCACAGAACATGCCTTCTTGTGTCGCATGGTGACGTCTTCTTACGCCACCGCGCAAACTAGTTCACAAACGGTGGGAGCCCCTATACTAAATAATTGGTAAAGTTATTTTTATATTTGCCTTTAGAATTAAACGATTATTTCAATGACCATCATTTCGTTTTTTCGTTTTGTTTTGTTTTGTTTTTGCTCCACACCCTACCAAAGACGAGGTTGACTGGCGAACGGATTGTGTTCAATCCTGCACTGCATCTTCGAACACATCAAGTTTTAATCGTCTTGTGGTTTTGTCTCTAACACCAGTTGGTTCCACTGTCGGTCACATTTTATTCCCCAAAGTTGCCAAAAACGACATGGCATCCACTTTTAAACTGTGGTAATGTGGACAGAGACCAGCTTGTTTGAGCCAGTTAAAACAACAAGCTCGAGGTTTGAGAGATTTACAGTCCTTTGCTCGCCTTGTGAAACATCGACTCTAATGAGTGCTCCACTGGGTTGTATGTCATTCAGTTTTCGAGCATGCGGGGCACGGACTGGACTGAGAAACAGTGATTAAGGGTCCTGTCTACTACTAAATACACACTCTCACACACACTCACAAACCCACAGACCACACGCACCAATAAGTGGTTCTTAGCCAAGTTCAGTGGACAGTCAGTATGCTTAAATGACATCAGAGAAAATTCTCAACATATATACATATATACGAATGTATCGCATGGTGATTGATATTGGACCGATATTTAAGTCACACAAACTCACCTATTGCAGATTAAAGTTAAAAGGTTACAAATTGCCAAAAAGGCAAATTAATCTGGGGCTTAAGCTAGTTAGAATGCACTCTCTGGTGTTTGTGCTGCATTCATTTTGCACAAGACTCGAGGAGTGAGTGCCCATTTCATGCCCTTCACAAAGTGCAGCTCACCAAACAAGTTAAAGGCAAACGACCACCCGAATAGTCGATGATATGATTGCGAGTATTATCCACCCTGCTGGAGCCTATCCGAGCCGCCTTCAGGCAGTAGGTGGCTGAACCGGTTACCAGCCAATCGCATGGTACGCAGAGACGAACAACCATCCGCACTCACATTCACACCTAGGGACAGTTTTGAGTGTTCAATCAGCCCATCATGCATGTTTTTGGAATGTGGGAGGGAACCGGAGTACCCGGAGAAAACCCACGCAGGTCCGGGAAGAACATGCAAACCCCACACAGGAAGGCCGGAGCCGGAATTGAACCCACGACCTCTGCACTGTATGGTTGACACGCTAACCACTGGAACACTGGGCCACCCCTGCTCGAATTATTGCTTCTCAAAAGATTTGTTCGTGACAGCCCTAAATTAATCTGATTACAGCTGATGTCAACAACTACAATGGTTACGTTTCACAGCATAGCCACCATTTAAAACGTTATTATTTTCTTTTCATATGTCATGCATTCCGGAGAGTATAATCCTTGCTCCTGCATGTAATGATTGAAGTTATAATTATAATGATTATGCACGCACACTGAATAGCTTCACTAATAAGGCTTTGACATGACATGATTAATTGCATCACCGGTGATTTAAAAATAACAACAACAAAAAAACTTGGGACAGGATATAAACAGAAACTCAAGCCTATAATTTAGAGGTGGAATAACACACCAACTGAGGTTTGTGAAAATAAATAAATCAATAAAGAGTCAGCCTGTCGCTTTTTCTAGGTCGCCAAAAATTGACATTGAATGGATGGGTAAGGGGTGGTGGCAACAGTGAACAACAGCAGCTTACTTCTTGATGTGCGACAGTCAGTCATGGTAAGATCATTTCTTTCAAAAGGAGACCGAGGGAAGCAAAAGAAAAAAAAAATGCAGCATGCATAGTATTCGCTTCTGAAGGCCACTGTTCACCCAGGCTGGAAACCCGTGGAGCGGCTCAACTCAGGTCGCAGTCATAAATCCATAATTTTTCCACAAACGCACATCTCAACACTTGCCAGTGTAATAAAAAGTGGACTAAGCTACCCCTAGAGGCCAAAAGCCGAGGGCGAGTCTGTTAGGAAAACCGAGAAGACTTGTATTGGCATGAGGAGCTCTGTAAAATCTCAGCGCGACTCTGTTCCAGGCTAATTAGCATGCTATCACCTGACACAGGTAATCTTGTGGAAGTCTGCCAGAACTGAATTATGCCACCACCGCCCAGCCGATTGCTGCGGATTCCCAGAAAATAGAAACCAAACACGAAAACTCCCCTCAGTCCCACCGTAGGGAAAAAAAAACGGCTTGTCCCCTGTGTTGGTTTTGGAGGAGATCTCTCGGTTAGTCCTGGCAGATCTTTAAAAATTAGTAACTGATACTCCCCAAATTTCCCCCCCTCCGCCCTGGCCGGGGCAAAACAAACTGAAAATGTTCGGTTATTAAAATGGAGGCAAATCCCAGCGGAATGTTTTACACATTTACTGGGTGTGCGTCAAGGTGAGAGACAACACTGGTGAATTATGGCTGGCATTTGGACCCGAAAGAACGCGAGTCAGGGGAGGTTTTTAACTGCACATGACAGTTCTGACAGCTGGGGGATTTAAGGCTAGCACGCTCCACAGAAACCACAGTGCCCCCTACAGCCAAAACCCACACATGTCAAACTTTATTGGCCCACCGAGTAAATGCCAGAACGATGAATAAAACAGTATCAAGAGTCCTGCTGCGAGGAGTTTAGTATGAAAGATCAATGAGTGTGTGTCTACGGGGAGCGAGCTAAAAGCATCCGTGCCATCTGCGGAAGCAGTGGGTCGACATGGCACACTAATCTCTTCTGGTTTGTGTGTTCAGGATCCAGGACGTCCAACAGGCTCGTGCGACAGCTGCGAGGGAAGAGACGGTGTTGGAGGGGGCGGATCTAAAAGGCCCGTCTGCGAACGCAAGGCAACTGTGAGCTTTTGTTTCGTCGAAAAAAAAAACCAAAAAAAAAGAGATTTGTTTTGCTTCTCGCGTCTGTTTAAGTGGAATTACAGGTCTGCGTAATAGCGCAGCAATTAGGGCCCGCGCACCACACGCGCCGGCCTCAGTTATTTCCAAAGCACTTAAAATGAGGGCTGAATGATCAAATGAAGCGTCTGGGTTTGAATTTTGTTTTCAAAGAGCAAAGTGGCTCTAATAACAGAGCAGCGCTATGTAAGAAGCAAGTGGGATGGAGACAGCAAACATTTAGCTCGAGGTGGTTAATCAAACATGCGCGAGGCATGTGCCCGGAACACCCCGGCCACCTCAGTGGTGGCATCGAGGTGCTGAACTACACAGTAAATCAGAGGCGGCCAAGCTTTTTCACCCAAAATGTCGTTTTCAAGCAACCATCCTCATCATATTTGAAGGAACAGGAAGTGAATTGTCGTTCTTTGCAATGACAAGCCCCATGTTATGAATGGCAAAGGTGATGTCATTTGTAGAAGGCGAAATGGCACTGCAGATATTGGAAATGCTAATTGTGGATTGGAAGAACATCATTACGGATATCTCAAATGTTCTTTTTGACATCACAAAACTGGAATTCAGATGTCTGCAACGCATACCAACACCAAACCATTTATTGATTTATTTTTTTACCAACGTGAGAGTCTGTTAGTCCATCTGACCACTTGCTCATCGTCAGGCTACATCCTGGTTCATCAACGATGATGTAAGATTACAGCTCTGTGTCACTTCTACTCCATTCCATTGTGACCCAAACACCAAAAACACACACTCAATTGATTGGATAGGAAAAACAGTTTGGAGCATCACATTTCTGGTTTCTTTTCTTGATTTATTTACAAGTTAGTAGGCTCCAATCTTTTTTCATGGAGGACAACAGCAGATGTCAGCAACAGAGCGTTTGCATTCTGGCTCCGCATTATCCGGATCTACAAAAATAAAATAAAATAAAAATTACGCACCCTTTCTAGTATTAAAGCTCATGTTTACTAAATCTTCATACAACTTCAACTTCAATGTGCCACTTCTGCAACTCTTTTCTCGTCGGTAATGTTGACATTAGAAAAAAAAAAAAGACTAAATTTTCTGGCACATAGTCGCAGATTCATGTTGGAATCCATTTAAGCAAGAATTTTCGCTCTCTTCCTACCGCCCAAACAAGCATGGCCATGACCAGTTGTGGACATGGCTGAAAGGAAGGCAGCATAAAAACATTGCTGAGCGCGAGTATGTGTCCTTCACTGCTCACTCAAGCATAGCGGGACTATTGCAAGCGTAAACATGCCAATATGGGAAGGTGTGTGAAATTTTTGGAAAGATAGCATTCGCCCGCCAAAAAAGCTATATTGTCATGCTCCACACTTCCTCCCATCCAGATGAGTTACTCCGTTTGTACAAACAGACGACGTCAGAGCAGCAGATCACTTTACATGGATAACTGCGGACATCTGTTTGGGAAATGGAATAACAAAACTCAACCAGCTTTTTACATGTTCGCCGGAATTCAATTAAAATGCGATTAGCAGGAGTATTAAGGGACGGCTGGCTCTGCCGACGCATGTGCGCCCACCGCGATCCCTCGGCTTGGTCAGGTTACTGTCAGGGATTAGTCCCAACAGGGTGACCTTTCACCTCCAGACAGGTGCCTGTGGGAAGGATGGGAGGGCGCTCATGTCACGCCATTCCAAGTGGGATTCCCACAGACTTGGGCCTTCATTCCAGAAGAATGTTTATTAGCACGGCAGTCATATGCACGCATGCCAGACTAAAGGGTTACATCAGTGCTTCTCACTTATTTTCTGTTACGCCTCTCCAATGAGAAGAAAACGATTCAGCGCCCCCCACCCCCACGCTCTCTGCCGCCACAATAATTATCATTTGTGTCTAAAATTGTTATAAGTACACGTCTGCATTACATTGTACCCTTATTAACATTAAAGAAAAAAGAAACAGTTCAACTTACAGCAAAGAATAGCCTCGAAAAGACTTTCAATGAATCACTTTGCCTGAAATTAAAAAAAAAAAAAATCCTCGTTTAAACATTTGACCAACTTATTGCACCATTTGAACCATTGCACCAGTCTGAAAACTACAATTAAATAAATCAATAAATATAATAAATTCAAATTCAGTTCAGCAACATTAACTCAGGAACAGAATACATGAAACACTTTAGTCTATCAAATAAAAAGGAATAAAATAATTCATTTTTTTCAATCAAAATGAGGAAGTCAGGATTAATGGCTGCGATGTGCATGTTTTTGTCACGTTACATGGTGGTGGTGGTGGACCCCAAAAAGCAGGCAGGAGGGAGGAGCATATTGTACTTTAAGAATTAATTGTATTAAAATACTAAGGAAACGAAATCCAGAACACACAAAGTCTGGAAAACAAAAAGAATCCAAAGTATCAAACAAAACCATGGCATAAGCAAAAAACAAAGTGATAAACACAAACCACCAGAAACCGTGACAGCAACTAACATGACAGAAGCAAACAAACAAGCAACAATGACCCGACAATGAGTGGCCGGGTGGGAGTCCTTTTGTACAGCTAATTACATAACGACCAACAGGTGTGCAGCTGCAAGGAGAGCCCTACAGTGCCACCTGTTGGTCACAAACCGAAACATGACAGTTTTGAGGTTGCACAACCTTTCCATTTCCTTGTCAACATTATTCAGGTGTAATGTCTTTAAGTGGCACCTTGATTTATTTGGCTTCATGGTGTCCGCTGACAGCATTTGTAGACACAGTTAACACACCGTTTTTTCCTCGTCTCCCACTGTAGTCACAGTGAAGGAAAGCGCAACGTATGCGTTGTCGTATTTCCTTGTCTTAGCTTTTGGGTCACTTTCTTTTGTCTCATTGTCTTTGTCATACACACACACACACACACATACACACACACACACACACACACACACACACACACACACACACACAGACACACACACACGCACAGACACACACACGTTTTCAAAAATGAATGAAACATGTCAGGAAAACTTAATTTTTCACAAATTTCTATTGAGACAAACAAGCTAACTAGCAATCCAATTAGCACACGTGGAGTGAAAACAACCTCCAAGGCAAATGTTCAAAAATCTATTTGCTCTCTTACAACAAGGTTTCCCCCTCCCGACAGACCACATAGGCCGATGTTTATGCTACAACTACTCCAAACCTGAGACCTGCAGTTAGGCTGCATGTGGAATAAGCAGCTTTTCTTCAGCAGGCCTGTGAGCCGAGCCCCCACTGGAGAGGTGAGTGGCCGTCTCATTGGATGAGCCGTTATCTCGGCCAAACACAGCACAGATGCGGGAAGAACATTTTATTTTTTATTTTTTTTAAATATATATTCACATCTTCCGGTCGCAATATTATTGGATAATCAGCGGTCTGATTTCCATGCCTGGCTGCGCTCCCAATGACCAAATTATGTAAAGACATAGGGAACGGCGCTGACAGTGTTTTTGATCCTAATACGCCAAGATTTGGTCCAAGCCTGGAGGTAGGACATCAACTGAAAGTGTTTTCAAACAACGGATCTTTGCTGAGGAAAAAGCGAAAGGAGGACCGTAAACACAGCGAAGCAAACACACAGTGCCAGTAAAATTCCCTCGTTTAAGGATCGTGACCTCGTTCTTGCCTGCGTATTATCTCGGGAAGAAAGTGCCCCCCCCCTCCTCCCCGTGCTGCGAAATCAATTAAAAAACAACCAGACAGAATGGAAGGATTAAAAAAAAAAGTCCAAGCGCACAGCAGATAAGACTGTTTGAAATCCTCATTTATCAGATAAAATGATTATCCTGGAAAGTATTTTGGAGTGGCCATTAAAAACAATGCCGTAGGATTATGAGGTCTCTCAAAGTTTACCGGCTTGATTGACTCACTGGAGGCTCGTCTATGCTAGAATAAAATGGACACACGTGCGCAACAGTACAAAATGCGGAGCTTTATTTGTCCAAAAAAGTGATTGATATCATTACACTGACCAAAAATTTCCATGCCGCATTTTTGTTTTTGCTTTCATTTTTCATGAGCTGAACTCAAAGATCAAATGCTTAATTCTATTTCTGTCAAATATGTGATCATTCATATCGGAAAAGGACTTGATGAAGATGTCGAATTTTTCCCAAATCCAAATCGGCTTGGTGTGTGTAGCTTGTCATGCCTCCACATCGCTAACAGCCTCCCTGAGATCGATACACGCAACACTTTGAAACTCGACTGTCGTATCAGGCATCATTTTGGTTTACCCACCTTTTTCCATTCCGCGCAGCGCCGCCGTCGGGGGAGCAGCTCACGGCCGGAGCGGCTTTGTTCTGAGGCGATGCTGACAGTCTCTTTATCTCCTCCTGTCAGACAGAACTCTGTTTGATCTGCAGCTTCTTTTGCACATCTTCCACATTCTGGTCAGATGACCTCAAGCCTGCTGTGCTGCAACAACAAGAAAAAGTGTGAGGGAAAAGTGCTTGTGTTGCAATTAGGGAGTGACCTTTTAGATGCTTTGTGAGGTTCACAAACGGAGTACATGCGGCACAGGATATGTTGTGTATCGCCGCACTTCTTGCGAGGGTCCTTGGCCTCGACTATCAAACGGAGTCGAATTGAATCTAATCCGCCGCCGCCTGCGTCTCCGTCTCCCAGGGTGACGTTTTTTTTTTTTTTTTTTAGTAGTTCACATCACAAACGGCAATTAAAAGGGATGTGGCGCATTAGTGATGTATAGCGAGAGAGGGAGAGCGAGAGAGAGCGAAAGAAAGGAGATAAAGAGAAGGGGTATGCCACCTCTCCCTCAGAAAAAACAGCCACGGACGCCACCTGCCTATTGATCTTTATTACAATAACAGCAAGCTGTACAACGTTTGATGGTTTTGTACTGATCTTAGCCACCCTCATTCGTAATTACCACTACACATGTAGAACCAAGGGCAACTTCAGACAGGACGGCGTTTGAAAAAGCCGCCGCCGCCGCCGCCAGACTGGATGATGGGTAATCTCGGCGGGGCCCTCACGGTGTAGCGCTGCAAGCCCCGAGGCGATCGCTCCTCCCACCGCACACCTGCAGCAACTTAAGTTTTACAGAGATCATATTATGGAAGCTGATTCTAAATGAGCGAACAGGGCCGACCTCATTTTTGTGTGGTTAAAGAAAAGAGGAAAAAAAAAAGTGTCTTTTGGGGCTGACTTTAGCAATGAACGTTAGCAATGTTTGATTCTTTCTGGTTTAAACGGGAGTCGTGTTCATCACACTGATGTACACTTGATGTAAGAGTGCATATTTTTTCCCGTGAAGGAGCTGAATGGAACAAAAGGCGAATTTTTAGGAGCCGACCTGAAGTTCAACACAAACAAAAGAGCAGCGGTAGGCATCCAAACTATGGCCCAGGCGCCATTTGTGGTCCACTGTTTATTTTTAGGCGGGGCCGTGGCCTATATTGGATTGAAAAATGACATTTGGAACTAATACATTTGTTTTTTTTTTTTTATACTGTACAGCTTTTCTAACTATGCAAACATGCAAATCAAGTATTTAGAATGAAACTAGTCACGACATTTCTCATCAGAACACCGCGGCGACTGTCGAGATGTGATTCGGCTGCCGGCTGATATTTTCTGGTGGATTACGATCTCTCCCCCACTCCAAAATTGTGTCAAATCTTAAACTATTTGCTTAAAAAAACATTGTGACATATACACAATACTTTTCTGCATGTGGCCCTCGGAGAAAAAAAGTTTCGACACCCCTGATTAAGACACTCTGAGCCGTAGGACATCCAGGTTGGAGCAAACATTGCGTAGCCAGAAAAAAAACAACAACAAAAAAAAAAAAAAACAGGACATATTCGAAGACATGAATTGTTTGAGCCGTCAAAGATCAAAGTCAATGCAAACTTTCCATATTTCGCCCACAGTTTAGTTTTTTTGTACAGCATCAATGTCTGTTTGCTCGCCGTGCGTCAAAGTGTTTCGGTTGAGACTGACACGAACGGACAGCGTTTGCGCCTCGTGTTTGGATAAAGAGCGGGTCTGAGCAAACACGGTGATGCAACTTAGACTTCGGCGTGAGGAACATTGTCCTTGTGAGAGGATTGTTGCCTCCAGCAGTCGAGAACAAGGCGAGCAGTCTTTTAGCCGGGCACGCCCTTGAATAATGCATCAGCCTCTGCGGAGTTGGCCAGATATACAGTACTGATTTCTTTGCCCCCTGGCATTGTCGAAGAAATGAATAATGGATAGGTTAAATGCTCGTGTTTGGGATGAATTAGTGTCGGAGATGTTGATGTAATAATGTGAGGTGCGCTCTTCAAAGCCGGAACGCAGACATATTAAGATGCTGGCTGCATTCCTCTTGCCTCTTGCTAGTTAGACAGATTACGGGAAAACTGCGAAAGCCATTGTGGAGGAGTAGGTGAAGGATTCCCAGGATAGAGCTGTACAATCCTGTCCCGCGAGGATGCGGGCAATTCAGTTTACACGCTGGCCGCCGTTCCCGACTGAATACATTTAAATGTAACTTCAAGCCGAAAAAGTGGAATATATAAGATAATTGCGAAAAGTGAAAGAATAACAAGAAAAGAAAGAAGTTCAGCAGAACGGAAACATTTTGGTACACCGGAAAAAATAATTGGTTGATGGGGGTCGGAAGGGGGTGCGTACGTGACTTTTGCCAAGACAATGGCCGTCCATCGCAGCAGGATGCCCCTTCGACATTGCCTTTCATCTGCGATCGGTCAAAGCCATCCGCCAAAAAATTTCCATCAGCCCTATTCTGAAACACTACTTTGAAATACGAAGTTCACAAACCTACTTTGAAACCGAAACACAAGTTTAAAAGTCTACTTTGAATACCTAAGCAGACTCTACATCTATTAACAAAATGGATCTGGATCAAGATGCTTTCATTTTGCGCAGCCACTTGACGACATAAAATTCAGTCAATTAAAAATTTTTGAGGGCGGGGGTGTAGTTTAAAACGCTACTTTGAAACCCCAACCATAACTAGAAAACCTCATTTGAAACCCTAAACCTACTTTAAAACCATCATTTGAAACCTTAACTCTTATTTCAAACCTCAATTTGAAACCCTGAGCCATTGCGACGGACGGGAGTTTTCCCAAATTGATACCCCTCAATCCCCAGCCTGATCTCAGGTGGATGCTCGGGGCCACCTCCCCATCGACCCCACCGTCTGCACGCCCCCGATGTTTTCCCACCAATAAGCATTCCCATCCTTACAGTGAACGTGTTCTCAACAAATTTCTCGAACGAAGGTCGACAAAATCTGCAGCCGCATGGAGCTTTTAGCTTTAATGCCTCTTCGGCTACAAACTTGAAAAACAACTAAAATGATCATAACCGGGATTGCTCAGCCTCGGGTAAGGTCTTGTCGTAGTTCCAAGACATTTAAAAGAAATGAATCCAAACCACGTGACCGTTTGTGTCATCTTGGCTAACATCCCTTGATGAACACCCAGGGGAATACTGGAAAAAAAAGGTAACTTTGAGATGTTGGAAGTAACGTGGCAGAGAAGGTGGTGGGCAAGAGGGTTCAAAAAAAAGAGGGTGGGGGCGGGGGAAGACAACATGACACACAGAGTACACAGAAAGTATTTTCATACTGCACGTCATGTATAACTCATGAAGTCACGACAGCACATTCCGCATTCCCTTTGGCTGGCGTTGCACTTCAGCTTCCTGTCGCCGCATCTTCAGCTGCGCTGCCCGCTCGGAGGCGTACGTTTTTTGACTCTGATGGACGCAGAAGCGCCACGGTGAGAGTGGCCGGGCCCTCCACCGGGGTCGGATCGTCCTGCCGGTCGTGTCGGGGGAAACCCGTCGGCTGCGCCCGAGCGTTCCGCTTTGTGTTTCGACAGTCTGACAGATCTGAAGCTGGAAGCCCACAGAACCAGAGGAGTCCACACATACATCACCCCCCGTGGCCCCCTCCTTGCTTCAGCCAACATCGACATCCTCTCTATCGCTGCTTTTTGTGTCTCTTCATCCTCCCTCCGACTATTTTTCTCCCTTTTCTCCGCGGGTAGCCCTTCAACTCTGCTCTCTCGTATTCTCTCATGTCACCCCCGCCCCCCGCCCCCTCACCCCACCCTTCTGCTTTTCTAGATTCAATAAGCACCCCGGAGGCAGGAGTGAGGGAGAATGGATGAACGGAGGAGGTGCAGGGCGGCGAGGGGGTGTAAAAACATCTATGGCTTTATTTACAAAGGGCCCAGGTATTGCTCGGCGTTAAATCCGAGGGAAATGATTTATTTTCCGCCCTGTGTGTGGCACTGATCCCCGAGGCGTAACTCAACGGCGGACCGGCTTTGCGCCAGCAATTTACGGTGGCTGCAGAGGCTCATAAAGGAAGAATGGATTAATCTGGAACACGACATAAACAATACGACTCTGACAGCCCTATTAAAAGCCGCGCCGCTCGGCATCAATCCCCCGCGTCGGCACGTTGGAAAAACGGACCCGCAGCCTTGTTATTGTCATTCCCAGAGTATCGGATTTGTCTACATATAGCAACCGGACCTTTTAACTGTTTAGTCGGTGGACATCATCAGGGGTATCGGATACGGACGCTCCCACAGTGCTCGTTAGGCTTCCTGTCCCGGAACCCGTGGCCTCTCGTTTTTCCATCAA